ATTGGTCTGTAATTTTCTTTTTAAGTGATGTGTTTGTGTGGTTTTGTATCAAGCTTATGCTTGCTTCATAAAATGAATTTGGGAGGATTCCATCCATTTCTGTGTTTTAGAATAGTTTGAGTAGGATTGGTATCAGTTCTTCTCTGAATGTTTGGTAGAATTCTCCAGTGAAACTGTCTGGGCTTTTTTTTTGTTGTTGTTGGTAATTTTTTATGACCTCTTCAATTTTTTCTTTTGTTATGGGTCTGTTAAACTTTTCCACATCAGTCTGTGTTAGTTTAGGTAAGTAGTGTGTTTCTAGAAATCTGTCCATTTTTTGTAGATTTTCAAATTTGTTGGAGTACAGTTCTTCATAAACCAAAAAACCAAACCCACTGCCCTCAAGTTGGATCCAACTCATAGCAACCCCTCCTTGGATTTCCCAGGTGGTATCACAATGGAAGTAGATTGCTCCATCTTCCTTCCAAGGAGTGGCTGGTGGGTTTGAACTGCCAGCCTTCTGGTTAGCCGTCAGTTGCCTTAGGCAGTAAGCCACCAGAGCTCCTACAGTTGTTTATAGTATCCTGATATTATCCTTTTTATTTCAGTTGGTTCTGTTGTGATGTCGCCCATTTCAGTTCTTATTCGTGTTTTTTTTGTCTTCTCCCCTGCTTTCACTTTGTTAAACTTGCCAATGAGTTTTCAATTTTATTATTCTTTTCAAAAAACCAACTTCTAGTCTTTTGATTTTTTTCTATTGTCTATTTTCTGTTTCATTGAATTCTGCTCGAATCTTTATTATCTCCTTTCTTCTGGTGACTGTAGGCTTTTCTTGCTGTTCTTTTTCTAATTGTTAGAGATGTTGGTTTAAAGTGTTGATTTTGGCTTTTACTTCTTTTTTTTACTTCTTTTTTGATGTGCGCATTTATTGCTATAAGTTGACCTCTGATCACTGCTTTGGCTATGTGCCAAAGATTTGGTATATTTTCATTCTCATTTGATTCAAGGAATTTTTTTTTATTTCTTCTTTTATCCAGTCATTCTCAAGGAGGGTGTTACTCAGTTTCCATGTGTTTGCTCTTTTTCTATTGATCTTCCTATTGTTGATTTCTAATTTTACAGCATTGTGGTCTGAGAAGTTGCTTTGCAGTATTTCAGTGTTTTTAAATTTAAAGCTTGTTTTATGGCCTGACATATGGTCTATCATGAAGAATGTTCCATGTGCACTGGAAAAGAATGTATATTGTGCTGCTGTTGGGTGAAGTGCTCTGTAGATATCTATACGGTCAAGTTGGTGGATTGTATTGTTTAGCTCTTCTGTGTCTTTGTTGAGTTTCTTTCCAGCTATTCTATCTTTCATTGCAAGTGGTGTATTAAAGTATCCTACTATGATTATGGAATCATCTGTTTATCTTTTCAATTCTGTTAAAGTCTGATTTATGTATTTTGGGGCCCTGTGTTAGGCTGGGTTCTCTAAAGAAGCAAAACCATTAAAGCTTATTGAGAGAGAGAGAAAGAGAATTTTTTTTTAGGGAAATGGCTCATACAGTTACAGAAGCTGGCAAGTCCCAAGTCCTTGGGTCAGATGTCAAGCTGGAGGCTTTTCTCAACTCATGCAGCTGCAGGGGCTGACTAGGTCAAGGTTGGCAGACGGTATACTGGCTGTTGACTCCAATGAATGATGAATCCAAGATCTCCAGGCTGAATGGTGGATTGTTTGCTCACAGACAGTTCTATGCAGCACAGCAGGATCCCAATCCACCGAAGAGTGTCTCTTTTTCCCAGGATGTCCATAAATATATTGGAAGCAAGCTATACCCCTAAGGAAACTCCCTTTCAATGGATCGGCTGCTCAAAACATATACGTCCAATCTCATCATGGGAATAACCAACATCACAACTGCTTAAACCACTCAGAATTGTGGTCCAGCCAAGTGACACACAACTCCAACTATCATAGTCCCTTTCATTGGGTCCATAGATATTTGTTATGTTATATCTTCTTGTTCAATGGATTCTTTAGTCATTATATAATGTGCTTCCTTGTCTATTATGGTGGTTTTTGTCTTAAAGTTAATTTGTTCAAAAATTAATATTGCTACTCCGGCTCTTTTTTGGTTGCCATTTGCTTGATATATTTTCTTCTGACCTTTGATTTTTAGTCTGTTTTTGCCTTTGTCTCTAAGGTGTGTCTCTTGTAGACAGCATATTGATGGGGTATGTTTTCTTATCCAGTCTGCAACTCTTCATTTCTTGAATGATACATTTAATCCTTTGACATTCATTGTAACTCTTAACAAGTATGAATTGGTTGCTGTCATTTTGTTATGTGTTTTTCATGGTGTTCTTGATTTCTTTGTTCCATATAATTTTCTGTGCTGAGCTCATTATATTTATGGGTCATGTTAATATTTCCTTTATTGCTGTTGTTATAGTATTTGCTAAATATTTGTGCTTGTCCTCTTTTTTATTGCGATGTGAAGGTTATCATTTTTCTTTGAAGTTACCCTGTGATTCATAATTTTTTCCCTGAGTTTAGAGCAGTCCATTCTATCTTGCAACTCTCTTGACTTCCTCACCATTTAGAAGTTCTGTAACTACACTGTTTTTTCCTCTTTTTTGTTTGTAGTTATCCTCATTTGCCAATTGATGTCTCTGGTTCCCTGTTTACAATCTTGTAAGCTTATTTTACTTTGGATACTTCCATAGCTGTGTTGGTTTCTGGGTTATGTCATCTTTTGTATTAATGATTGGTTGTTGTTTGCTGTTATTGGTTCTCTGTTCAAAAGACTCCCTTTAGTATCTCTTGTAAGGTTTGTGTGGTTTTAACAAATTCCCTTCATTTTTGTTTATCTGGAAATCTCCTAATTTCATCATATTTGAGGGACAGTTTTGCTGGGTATATAATTCTTAGTTGGAAATTTTTTTCTTTCAGGGTTTTATATGTACCATCCCATTGCCTGCTCACTTGCTTGGTTTCTACTGTGAAATCAGAGTGTATACTTATTGTTTGTCCTTTGTAAGTAACTTTTTGTTTTTCCCATGATGCTTTCAGGATTCTTTCTTTGTCTTTGGTTTAGTTGAATTTGATGATATGTCTTGGTGATTTTCTTTTAGGATCTGCCCTGTTTGGGGTTCATTGGACTTCCTGAATGGATATATTCTCATCTTTCATCCTAACAGAGAAGTTCTCTTCCCACAAATCTTGGACAATTTTCTCAGTGGTTTTCTTTTCCTCTTCATGTTCTGGAATTCTGATGACATGTAGGTTATTCCTTTTGATGGATACCCCATGAACCTTAGGCTTTCTTCATTTTGTTTTGATCTTTTTCCTGATTGATCCCTTTCCAAAGAAGTATTCAGATATTTGTCTTCAATCTCATTAATTCTATCTTCCATTGATTCAATTCCACTCCTTTGCCCTTTCAATGTGTTATCTATTTCTGAAAATTCAATATTAATCTTCTAGATTTCTATCTGTAGATTTAGTATCATTTCTAATTTTTCATTTATTTTGTCATTTTTGTTCTTGTGTTTTCTTCTGAAATTGTTCTAGGGTTTTGTCTGTTTTTCTTAATTTTATCAGTGTTTTCCTTGATCTGTTTCTCAATCCTTTGTAGATAACTAAGTATAATTCTTTTGAATTCCTTATCAGGGAGTTCCAATTCTGCTTCTTCCTCAGGGATGTTTTCTGAGTCTCTATCCTGCTCCCTTGTTTCTATCACTTTATCTTGCTGCTTTATGTGCAGTGTGATGGTCTCTTGTCTTTGAGACATTGTGACATTCTTGTATTGAGGTCTCTGTTAACTGTGAAGAGCAGTTAAGGGTGAGTCATGCTCTTGTTGGTGGTCATTGATCATTGGCCAATTGGTGGAGAAGGAAGTAGTGGCTCTCACTCAGTAAGTGGAGCTGCAGGAGGTGCTGGTATGGTTGTGTCATATGGGCACTTTTGCTGTCTCCCACTCAGTTATACAAAAGCAACAATCAAAAAAACATCAAAAAAGTAAAAGCAAGTGGACAAAAAACACACTGGCAAACACATAGCAACAATCAGCAAAAAAGGAAAAGGAAAAAAAATGCACTATCTGGGGAGGGGGCAATAAGAGAAAAGAGATAGGGTAGGAGAGTAATGAAAAAAAATGGGAAAATGCAAAAAAGAGAAACAAGGAAGGGGTTAACCTTGAGAAGGAAAAAAATGGGAACCAGGAACAGGGAAGAGAGAAAAAGCTGAAAACTAGAACCTGGGAGGAGAAAAAGAAAGAGTTTAGTCCACTTCTGTATCCTT